TCGAACCCACTTGGTTCGAATAGTTCGAATAGTTTCAAATAGTTCGAATAGTTTGAATAGTTTGGGCGCCCCAGGCCGGGCCCCAAACTACTCCCAATACTAAATTACGAGCCCGGGCCTTCTCCCAATCTTAAATTACGAGCCCGGGCCTTCTCTCAATACTAAATTACGAGCCCGGACCTTCCCCGAATTCTAAAAAACGAGCCCGGGCCTTCCCCCAATACTAAATTACCTGCCCCGAATACTAAATTACGAGCCCGGGCCTTCCCCCAATACTAAATTACGAGCCAGGGCCTTCTCCCAATCGAGCACGAGCCTTCTTTCCAGACTGGTCTCCCCGGGCACCCCACCCCCCTAAACTGTTCGAACTATTCGAACTATTCGAAATTTTTCAAACTATTCGAACCCCCTTGGCTCGAATAGTTCGAATAGTTTGGGGCATCAGTTTTGTGCGGCATTTGCAGGACTTTTGCAGGGTGCCAAGGGGATCCCGGCAAATTTCGACCCGCAAAGTTGTTCCTACCCGTTCCCGTTTTGTGTGATATTTGCGGGACTTTTGCAGGGCGCCAAGGGGATCCCGGCAAATTTCGACCCGCCAAGTTGTTCCTACCCGTTCCCGTTTTGCGTGGCATTTGCAGGACTTTTTCAGGGCGCCAAGGGGATCCCGGCAAATTTCGACCCGCAAATGTTGTTCCTACCCGTTCCCGTTTTGTGTGGTATTTGCAGGACTTTTGCAGGGCGCCAAGGGGATCCCGGCAAATTTCGACCTGCCAAGTTGTTCCTACCTGTTCCCATTTTGTGCGGTACTTGAAGAACTTTTCCAGGGTGCCAAGGGGATCCCGGCAAATTTCGACCCGCAAAGTTGTTCCTACCCGTTCCCGTTTTGTGTGTTATTTGCGGGACTTTTGCAGGGCGCCAAGGGGATCCCGGCAAATTTCGACCCGCCAAGTTGTTCCTACCCGTTCCCGTTTTGTGTGGCATTTGCAGGACTTTTTCAGGGTGCCAAGGGGATCCCGGCAAATTTCGACCCGCAAAGTTGTTCCTACCCGTTCCCGTTTTGTGTGATATTTGCGGGACTTTTGCAGGGCGCCAAGGGGATCCCGGCAAATTTCGACCCGCAAAGTTGTTCCTACCCGTTCCCGTGTTGTGTGGTATTTGCGGGACTTTTGCAGGGTGCCAAGGGGATCCCGGCAAATTTCGACCCGCAAAGTTGTTCCTACCCGTTCCCGTTTCGTGTGGTATTTGTAGGACTTTTGCAGGGTGCCAAGGGGATCCCGGCAAATTTCGACCCGCAAAGTTATTCCTACCCGTTCCCGTTTTGTGTGGTATTTGCGGGACTTTTGCAGGGCGCCAAGGGGATCCCGGCAAATTTCGACCCGCCAAGGTGTTCCTACCCGTTCCCGTTTTGTGTGGTATTTGCGGGACTTTTGCAGGGTGCCAAGGGGATCCCGGCAAATTTCGACCCGCAAATGTTGTTCCTACCCGTTCCCGTTTTGCGTGGTATTTGCGGGACTTTTCCAGGGTGCCAAGGGGATCCCGGCAAATTTCGACCCGCAAAGTTGTTCCTACCCGTTCCCGTTTTGTGTGGTATTTGCGGGACTTTTGCAGGGTGCCAAGGGGATCCCGGCAAATTTCGACCCGCAAAGTTGTTCCTACCCGTTCCCGTTTTGTGCGGTATTTGCGGGACTTTTGCAGGGTGCCAAGGGGATTCCGGCAAATTTTGAATTTTGGGGGCCCCAGGCCGGCGCGAACCCCCCTTCCTCCCAAACTGGTCTCCCCGGGCCCCCCCCAAACTATTCGAACTATTCGAACTATTCGAAACTATTCGAACTATTCGAACCCCCCTGGTTCGAATAGTTCGAATAGTTCGAATAGTTTGGGGCACCAGCCCTCGCCCCCAAACTATTCGAACTATTCGAACCCCCCTGGTTCGAATAGTTCGAATAGTTCGAATAGTTTGGGGCACCAGCCCTCGCGCCCAAACTATTCGAACTATTCGAACCCCCCTGGTTCGAATAGTACGAATAGTTTCGAATAGTTCGAATAGTTCGAATAGTTTGGGAGCCCGGCCTGGGGCCCCCACACTATTCGAACTATTCGAACCCCCCTTCCTCCCAAACTGGTCCCCCCGGGGACCCCCCAAACTATTCGAACTATTCGAACTATTCGAAGCTATTCGAACTATTCGAACCCCCCTGGTTCGAATAGTTCGAATAGTTCGAATAGTTTGGGGCACCAGCCCTCGCGCCCAAACTATTCGAACTATTCGAACCCCCCTGGTTCGAATAGTTCGAATAGTTTCGAATAGTTCGAATAGTTTAGGGGGCCCGGCCTGGGGCCCCCACACTATTCGAACTATTCGAACCCCCCTTCCTCCCAAACTGGTCCCCCCGGGGACCCCCCAAACTATTCGAACTATTCGAAACTATTCGAACTATTCGAACCCCCCTGGTTCGAATAGTTCGAATAGTTCGAATAGTTTGGGGCACCAGCCCTCGCGCCCAAACTATTCGAACTATTCGAACCCCCCTGGTTCGAATAGTTCGAATAGTTTCGAATAGTTCGAATAGTTCGAATAGTTTGGGGGCCCGGCCTGGGGCCCCCACACTATTCGAACTATTCGAACCCCCTTCCTCCCAAACTGGTCTCCCCGGGGACCCCCCAAACTATTCGAACTATTCGAACTATTCGAAACTATTCGAACTATTCGAACCCCCCTGGTTCGAATAGTTCGAATAGTTCGAATAGTTTGGGGCACCAGCCCTCGCGCCCAAACTATTCGAACTATTCGAACTATTCGAACCAGGGGGGTTCGAATAGTTCGAATAGTTTCGAATAGTTCGAATAGTTCGAATAGTTTGGGGGCCCGGCCTGGGGCCCCCACACTATTCGAACTATTCGAACCCCCTTCCTCCCAAACTGGTCTCCCCGGGCACGCCCCAAACTATTCGAACTATTCGAACTATTCGAAACTATTCGAACTATTCGAACCCCCCTGGTTCGAATAGTTCGAATAGTTCGAATAGTTTGGGGCACCAGCCCTCGCGCCCAAACTATTCGAACTATTCGAACCCCCCTGGTTCGAATAGTTCGAATAGTTTCGAATAGTTCGAATAGTTTAGGGCACCAGGCCGGGCCCCCAAACTGTTCGAACTATTCGAACCCCTCTGGTTCGAATAGTTCGAATAGTTTCGAATAGTTCGAATAGTTCGAATAGTTTGGGGGCCCCAGGCCGGGCCCCCAAACTATTCGAACCCATCTGGTTCGAATAGTTCGAATAGTTTGGGGCACCAGGCCATGCCCCCAAACTATTCGAACTATTCGAACCCCTCTGGTTCGAATAGTTCGAATAGTTTAGAATAGTTCGAATAGTTCGAATAGTTTGGGGACCCCAGGCCGGGCCCCCAAACCATTCAAACTATTCGAACCCCCGTTTGAAAGTTCAGAAAAGACGCATGGTCACATAATACAGGAAGGTTCCTCGTACATATATATATATATGTATATACGTATATATGTATAATTTCAGGCCCGAAGCAGAGGCCCCGTTCCCAAGACGGCTGGGAGATCTGGGTCCCAGGGTCCTAGCAGGATCTGGTTTTTACCACCCCCAAGCAGGCCGGTTTCGGGTTTAGGGTCTGGGGTGCAGAAAGCTTACTGTGCGAGTCTTACAGTCAAGAAGTTTGGGTTTGAAGGGCTTGTGGTACCAGAAAAAGTTAGTAAGGCCATCGAGGTACAAGACTAGTACCGGGCACTTATCATTTTTTTTGGGGGGGGGGGGTGGGGAGGGGGGGGGGGGGGTGCACTTTGAAACCCTTTTTGCCTACCAAGACTCTGTGATGTGCCTGGACCCTGAATTCCCAAAATCTATCAGGGATCGAGGGCTGATCCAGGGTGTCGGTTTCTGTGGTCTGGCTTACGGCTCGGGCCTGCGCAGTTAACCCACTCAGAGGAGCACTAAGGGTTCTTTCAAGTTGGACAGGGCTTGGGGTTTGGGGGGGCACCATGTTGCCCGCTTTGGGGCCGTTGCGCCGTGAATAGCTCCCGAATGGCAAGTATCCAAAGTCCAAGCCTACCGAGCACCTCTTCTGTTCCCTGACCTTCAACGCCCAAACCTGCCTTTGGTGTAGCTCGTGGGGTTTCTTTGATCTTATTTGTTGGGTCTATGTTGGCACGGCCGAGAAAGGCTGAGACCTTAGACCTTAGGGGTCGCATCTCGGAGTGTGTTTGGAGACATACGGTCCCAAAGAGCCCTAAACCCCAAACCCAAAACTCTAAACAATTCTATGATGGCGGGCCTTCCCAAAGTGCCAGGCGGCGTTGGACAGGGCCTGCGCATCCAACGTGTCGCTGACGGCTGCCAAACCTCTCCGATGAGTTCTTGAGAGTTTGATACGCCCCTTTTTGGAATGCGAATCTAATCTGAAACCCCAAGCCCTAAGCCCTAAACCCCAAACCCTACACCCTAAAGAGCGTCGTAAGGTTTCGACTCTCATAGTGGTGGACAGCAGGCTCCGAGATCCATCGTCCAATCTGTGTGAAACAAGCTCTGGCCATTGGAGGTGCAGCTGCAGCCCGACACCCGAAAGTTCAGGGTTTAGGGTTTAGGGCTTGACCTGCATCCTGGAGTCATTGTTCAAGCTGCCGCCTCCCCATCATGATGGCGTTCTTGGAAGAACATCCGCGGCTTCCACTCCGCTTTGTGAAAGCATTGTAGACGGAGTCGTGGAAGAACTACTTCAGAGTTCACGGTTCATGGGGCAATGAAACGGAAGTACCCCAGGAACTGTACACATACATACCTATTGTTATTTCCATTTGTTAATGCATGGGCATCGAGTTCGATGAATTAACATACACGTTCCCCACCATGTGCCAATTTACGACGCGGAATTCAGCCAATCTTCCTAAACAAAGGCCTTATTGTAAATGCTAGCTCCGTCATTCCCGTGAACATCCGCACATCCTAAAGCGACTTCGGAATCGATGCTCCGGGCCGATCAGTCGTGGGCTCCCGTTGCTGCAGGTGCTGGGGTGGCAGCGCCGGTGATGACTGACTGGGCAGGCTGGTCTGCCACAGCGTCTGGTGGCTTCTCGAGCCTTAACTGTTTCCCCGGGTCCCCTATATACATGAATAAAAGAATAAAAAATAACACACACACACACACATATCATACATGTATACAGAACATAGAGATTCGAGAGAGAAAGAGAGAGAGAGAGAGAGAGAGAGAGAGAGAGAGAGAGAGAGTGAGAGTGATAGAACCTACCGAAGATTGTCAAGTTATCTTCAAGACTGGTCAAGGAGCTGCGAAATACCGGTCTTGGGGTTCCAGTAATATGGCGCGCCGCTGCTTCGAGACTTCATCTTCACCCAGCCATCGGGCAGGTCGAACTGCGCTTTGCCACTGCGGATGTTGACGAAGTAGATGCCGTTGCCTGTCTTTCTCCGTACCCGTATCCAGTCTGGCGGCAAAGGCGTCAAGTGTGCAAACTGGCCCTGATCCTGCGCCCACTGCATGACCGTCTTCACCTCGTTGTTGGGGCGCGAAGCTGCAGGCTCTGCGGCTGCAGGGGCGACCGCTGGGGCGACCGCTGGGGCTGCGCCGTTTGCTTGTTGCGGCTTCCCGGCTGAGGTGGCCGATGCGGCAGACACCTTCTCCCGAAGGATGTTGGCAAACTCCGCCGGTGGAGCGCTGCCCTCGTCCTTGACCGGAACAGACGTTTCAGCGGCTCCTCGTTCCTCGGCTGGCCCTTATACGACCCTCGGAAAAATATTCCGAAGCATGATCCTCTTAAACCCAAGAAGGGGAACTACAAAAACATCCCAAGGGCCTACCCGGTTGCAGCTTTTGCCTCTTCCATCTGCCTCAGGGCTGCCTGAAAGCCCAGTCGGAACATCTCTTGGCTGTCGGCCATCAGCTTGCGCTTCACTCGCCTCGCCACTTCGTCCTCCTCGTCCTCGTCAAGGGGCCTCCTGCGTGCATCCGATTTCTTTGGCGTGCCACCCAGAGGGGCCTCGGGCACAGGAGACGCAAGCTGGCTCGTCAGCTCTTCAGCCTTGGTAGCCCAGTAACCATATTATAAAAAGGGCACTCTTTTTTGGGGGGTTTAGGGTTACTGTTATAAGGGAACCCAGAACCCAACAAAAAGGGCAAAAGGGGCACCACTGGGCTACCAGGCCAGCAGCGGATGCTGGCTCCGGCGGCGCCGGCGGAGGGGGCGACTCGACTTGCTGGTCGGCAGACCAGATCTGCTGATCGAGCCGGGCTTAGTTGCTGAGTTCAGAAGCCCCCCAAAATTGTGCACCTTCAGTTCAACAGGGGATTATAGTACCCAAAAACGTGTAAAGTGTACTCATTCAGCTGCGAAGTGGCCGATTTCGGCGTTGACTACTTGCAAGGCTCTCTTGACCTCAAGAGGCGGCCCTTCGCCAATCACCACCTTGAAGCGTGGAGGATCGATGCGGATTTCAATGCCCGTTTTTTCTTCCATCTGGCCCTCCCAGTCCTGCTGCTGACTGAGCCTATCGAGAATCTCCTGCGTTATTATGACCTCGGTGGAGATCATGACCTTAGTCGCCCAGGATTCACATGCTGATAAAGGGCACCATTTTGGGGTGGCTACTTTACAAAGGAACCCACAACCCCAAAAAAGGGGGTAAAGGGTACCACTGGGCAGCCAAGTGACCAGAGGGGTGTAGTTCCCTGTAAACAGCAGCTCGGAGGATCGGAACGCTCGAATGGAATCTTCGCCTTGGTTGAAGATCACCTTATTGGTCTGCTCATCACCTTGGTAGCCGAGTAGGGTTTAGGGTTTAGGGTTTAGGGTTTAAGGTTTAGGGTTTAGGGTTTAAACCATATTTTAATGAGGGCACCCTTTTTTGGGTTGGTTACTGTATAAGGGAACCCAGAAACCAGAAAAAGAGTAAATGGTACCACTGGCATACCAAGTCACACAACCAAAACTGGTCGTCCTCATGGAAACAGTTGTCCACCCAGGCTCTCCTATAGCCGTCGTAAACGACGAGCATACCTCGCTCCACCTCCCAAGCCGTGAGTTGCTTCAAGTCATCGGTCCTCATAGGTTTGGATTCCCTCAGGTTCGGCTCAACGATACGAGGAAGCCCTTGGCGGAGAGACGCAGGCAGCTCGGACGGCTCTTCCTTCACCCTCTGAAACTGAAATTCCTGTGGCGGCGCTTCCTCCTGCACGTTGTAGCCCATGGGGTCCTCATTGAAGGTCTCACCGGCTTCGTCGAAAAAGACCACCTGCTCTGGAAGGGCCTCGGGGTCCTGCTCTGCTGCATCCTCGGAGAAATAGACCACCTGTTCTGGGACGTGCTCCTCGTCTGCCAGACCATCTGCCTGATCGTCTGCCTGCTCGGGAACCTCCGCCGTAGATTGCCGCAATCTGTTGAAGGCTGGCGTGATTCGCGGCGCGATGATGGGTGCATTGCTCTGCTGCGGCGGAGGCGCGAAAGCAGCATGGCTCTGCTGTGGCGGAGGCACGAAGCCTGCGTGGCTCTGCTGTGGCGGAGGCACAAAGACCCCGGCGCCACGCGGCCCACGTGGAGCCGCCGCGAAGGTCGAAAGCTGCTGGTACCACGTGTAGTATCGTGGCCGTGGCAGCGGCAGCGGCTGCATCCTACTCGTTATTCTCTACTGCCCAGAGGGCTTCAGGGGTGACCTCTTTAGGGTAGACGTATGAAATGCCTTGCCATGGGCAATGTAAACCTGCCTGAGTTTAGGGCTTGGAGAGGAACTTCGTGGCTCAACCGATGGCTGAGCCCACACCTGCGACTACCAACGACGCACAAACTTGCGGTGCTGACCCGTGATTTCAACAGTTTTTCCCTGAAGGTAGCAGCTTACCGCAGCATGCAGGCTTCTTTGCACTCGTTCGCATGAGTCCATGTGTGTGTGTGTGTGTGTGTGCGCGATTATGTAGGTCCAGGGCACGCTGCGCGGCAGCTTGCGTGGCTGCCTCGCCATACCTTGGCTTGCTCGCTTGGCTGAGGTTCGGGTCTTACCTCGAGCCAACTTTCTCCTTATTCGCGCCATCTGAAGAAACCCTAAACCCAACCCTAAACCCTAAACCCTAAACCCTAAACCCTAAACCCTAAACCCTAAACCCTAAACCTCAAACCTCAAACCTGAACCCTAGCCATAGTTGTTGGGAACACTTCTTTTGAGAGTCCAGATGCGCCATCACTCGCGTGCTCTCTGGGGGAGGGAGGGGGGGGGGGCGGGATACCATCGGGGTGGGAGAAGGTATAGGGTGAGAATGCAGATGAATACGGTCTTTTTCTCGGGACTTCAGTTCTTGACACAGCCGAAGCCACGCATTCTGGAGGCGTTGAGGGGGCTATCGAGTTACTTCAAGTCTTCAGGTGTTCCCTATACTCCCCTTAGAACCTTAATAAAACTAATGTTTTTGGTATCCTCTTGGTTTATATAAACATAAACAAAAAATAATTCCCAAGGAGGCTACAGTTCCAGTTTCTCAACCCCAACCCTGTAAGCCTGAAAGCCTGGTTGCCACAGCAGGGCGGCGAACGCCCACGCAGCGCCCGACAGCTCCTTGCAGGCTGATCTGCTCAGGCTTCAGTGCTTCAGGTTTCGGAACTGCGGTTTTACTCTGCTGCTGCAAGAGTGGAAGTATGGTTTAGGGTTTAGGGTTTAGGGAATTAAGGAACCAGAAGGGTCTCTTTTTTACAGGTATGCTTAAAGAACCCACAAGTACCGATCAGTTTACGCTGTGAAGGCGCAGTACCTCGCCCTGCTCGTCCTCCATCCGGAAGCTGGAAGCCTCACCAACTTAAGCAAGGTTTGGTCGCGAAGGTCTCTGGAGTTTTTGGTGCCCAAAGTCCCTACATAGGAGGTACTTTTAGGCCCATGCGTTCCCTAGTAAGGTACATGGACCCTTAGGTTGGCACTTTGCGATGCAGCTTTTCGACACACCGGGAGACAGAGAGAAAATTCAGTGACACAACCGTAAAGGTAAAGAAAGGGAAAGGGGAGACGTGCGCGCGACGTAATATCTAGCCCTTGCAGATGGCAAAGGTTCCCAAAGGCCTCTTCTGTGGGAGGCTGCTGGCTTGAGTCTCTTAAACCTTCGGCCCCTGTCAGTGATGCGTAAGGGCAAGACAAGCTGGTGATTCCTAAAAGGGTTGGCTAGATTAACAACCCTCTCCGGTCAATGTCTGATACACTCTTTGTTTCTAAAGAAGCCTTTGTCGGTCCTGAGGAAGTACCTTCAAGCGGCTCTTGTAAAGCCTCGACCCAAATCAAATGAAGCCTAGCCAGCCTTGCCCACCTGGATCAACCCTAAATCCCAAAACCTACCTACCCTTTTTGCGCCTGGCTTGGACTAGCAAACCCTATATAAACTCTGAACCCAAGGTCCTGGGTCCTAAATCACCCAGTCGCCAGTAGTCGCCTCGCTATGCACAGTGGCCATGACGGCCGCCGTCAGCGAATCGCGTGAGAGCCTAACAGTCTGGGTTGAGGATGAATGCAACTATAAGTGTACTCATAGCAGCCGTAGCAAGAGACATTGCACCGAAGTGTGCGCACATCTCGGTCCCAAGCTAAAGAAAACTTCTCTATCCAGGATCATACTTGGGCCTAAAAGGGGTGTACCTTTAGGGCCCAAGTAGATACTATATAGGTACATGGATCCTATATAGGTACATGGATCCTTCGGGTAAGGCTTGAGGGAGGCTACACTGTGCCAGTAACTTGGGACCAACATGGGGAAGCGGGCCTCACCTGCAACAATCGACTTACCAAAAGCATGAAGAACTCCATAATGCAAACGTATAGTCTCACTGTTTCCGGTTTGCATATGCTTGTGTCTGCTGGACAGCTGTATTGGGATTATTGATTACTCTTTGTTGCAGACATACAAAAGCTCAAAAACACTTCATTAAAAACAAATCAGAACATGCGTGGCGGCTAAGCGCAGGAGTTCGGGGGGGAGGGGGGCGACGGTGGCTGAGTCACTGTGTTAACTCGCAGAGCACCTGGCAAGCCATGATGCAGTCCAACTCCCGGATCCGAGCCTTCTTATTCAAATGTCGCCACACATGTCGCCCTGCGTTGGGTAAGGGATTCCTGGACGAACTTGTCAAAGGGATTCTGACAAAGCTTCCTGGAACGACACTCTACATTCTAGATACTTCCAGGGCAACCAACCCTGAAGCAGAGAACGACGGAATCCGAATGCAAGGAGCGCCGTGGCGCCAAACCCCCGAGCGAAGTTGGCCGAGTCCTGCCGGGTTCAGGATGTACGACTTCAGGGATTACCCAGACCCCCCAAAGGATCCAAAAAGTAGATCCCCTGAAGGGTTCCTAAAAGTGACCCAATAGTAGTATAGGGTACTATTTAGGGGTTCTACGTTTTGGATCCTCCCAGGGGGGTCTGGGTAATGAAGGAAGTTCAGGACTTGTCAGTATAATAGCCAAAACATCATGCAACCAACACAAAGTGCCAAGCAGTGGAGACTTGAGCCAGGATAAGGCCAAGAGGTTTAGGGGTTTGGGTTCTGGGTCCCCTAAACTCCCACAAACCAGGTTTAGGGTTTAGGGCTTAGTGTTGTTTAGGGTCGCCGAGACCCCCACAAACCCTAAACCGGTCCTGACCGTTTGCTTGTCCCAGTTTTGCCAGCGCTTCATCTGCTGCACAAGCCATCAGCGCCTCTCACCTCACGCATGACTGACTAGTTGAGGCGCTAGGGTCAGTTAGGGAGTACGAATATACAGGTAAAACATGAGGATGATGATGCTGGGAACTTTGCATCATCCTTCCCGTGAGGTTGTTGAGAGACGTGCGTGACTGGTAACTCCCTGACCCAGACATGGTTAGGATGTATTGGGGCCATTGCCTGCCCCGAAAGTACCTGGCAGTGCCTGTGAAGCTCCAAACCAAAACATGTTCCCAAATAGCTTTAAAAAAGCAGAATGAAACTGTGCCGAATCACAAGCCATTGACTGCTAGACATACTCACCAAAGGGAAGCTTTGGAACCCGGCAGACATAGGGGAAGCCTGCGACCTTCTCTACGCATCAGGTGACGTTCAGCCCAGCTCGGGTCTTCCTTCTTTGGATGTTGCTTGGCCCGGGGCTTTATGAAGAGACAACTCCCTTACTTCTTCCTGCTTGCACAGTTTCTCCAGGTATTCTGCTGGAGCCCTCTAGACCCCGAGCCTCCAAAGCCCAAACTCCAAACCCCCCGGATCACTCACTTGCTTGCCTAAACCTTAAACCCTAAACCCTAAAACCCTAAACCCTAAACCCCCTAAACCCCCTAAACCCTAAACCCTAAACTTGCTTGCTTGAGTGCGCATAAACCTCCCGGAGGAGGTCGCCCCAAGGGGCGCGCTTCATTTCGAGTTCGTCGGTGTGAAATAGGAGTGTGGTGAAGATCGCTCTCTCTCTCTCTCTCTCTCTCTTTCTTTCTTTCTTGGGACCATGAGGGCACGGGGCCCTCGCTCTCTCTCTCTCTCTCTCTCCCTCCCTCTCTCTGGCACTCGAAGCGTCAGGCCTGGCTGTAGGGCAGCACTCGTCGCTACACCCCGCAACCCTAAACCCTAAACCCCAAAGCCTTGACAAACCCGGCCTGGCTTCCGTCTTGCTGAAGCCCTGGGCTGTTCTGGCAGGGCCCAGCACCTTCCCAGCTCGATTCCAGAACTTTGGGTTTCATGGCTTATGGAGCCTGGGCTTTAGGGCTTGGGGGCTACAATAGGGATTGCAGAGCTTAGTGTTTATCGGGTTTCAGGTTAAGGGTTTAGGCTTCGGATTTGGGTGATTCCGGAATTCCGGTTACCCGAAATCCTACATGGTGAGTGGGGCATTGGTGGGTCCTGCATCAGCCAGGTGTCGGGTTGTAAATAAAAGGACCTCTTCCTACGAGCTTAAGACACCAAAAGCCCTCAACCACTGAAGCCTACAAAGGCCCGGGAAGTTTTTCTTGTCGTGTCGGGTTTGGGGCTTGGGGTCGGGTTCACAAGAGGAGGCCTGGACCCTAAACTTTGGACCCTAAACCCTAAACGGCCCTAAACCCTAAGCCTTGAGCTCCGAAATCGTTTCTGCCACGCGAGCTTCAAGGGGAAGAGGCAGCAGGTCCTCCCAGGCTGCAACAACCGCCCCCCCCCCCCCACTTGGAGGTTCATGGTACTTACCCTAGGGCTCCAAGTAGATAAAGAACACCTACATTGGTTCTAAAGTCTGTGCATAGTACCTACTTTGGGCTGTTTGGAGCCTTGAGGTTTTCACGCAATAATAACTGTGCTTATAACCCGCAAAGAAGCCCCCTTAAGTGCCCGGATAGGGTGGTTATGGGTACCGTTATAGTTGGGTTACTAAGTACCATGAACCTCCAAGTAAGGGTAGTTTCATGGTCCCTTAGTATGGGCCCTTAGAAGGGTCCCCCTTAAAGACCCCTTTTATACCCATGCAAACGCAGGACCGTACATCAGCTTCAAAGGAGGTTGGGACCAAAATAAGGGCCCATGTAATGCAACAACCTCTAGACAGACTGACACTCCAAAATCACCAAGGCCTGAGCCCTAAAGCCTTCTGCAAAAAACAAAACCTAAGCCCTAAATACGTAACTGTTCCTAAAGATTTCACCTCGAGGGTCTCAACTGCAACTCCCTCCGCTCAGGATTTGGCCTTCGGTTCAGTGTTTAGGGTTTAGGGTTCAGGGTTCGGTTCAGAATCCGCATCAGGCCCCACACAGCTTGTGCGATGCAGGGGTTCTTGCAGAAACCCTGCCCTCCGTCCCTGACCACATCTTTTCTTGCATGGGTTGTGGGCTGAGGGCACTTTCTTACTTGCAGAGTTCCTAAGCCCACAAAAAGAGTACACTTTCAGTTCTGTAGGGGATTATAGTATCCCAAAAAGTGTAAAGCATACTGCTTCAGCTACGAAGCTTTGTGTTTAAGGAGCACGTCTCAGACAAGCTGGTCGAGACTCGGCGGGCGGGCGAGGCTCTTGAGTGCAATGTGACGTGAAAGGAGCGACCCTAAACCCTAAACCCCTGCTAAGGACTTGTCGGGTTGCTGCGACAACGCTCGGGACCTCCCGGTGTGGTTGGGTGATGGGATCTCGGGTGGCCCGGTGGAGTTCAGACTGACAAAGTCGAAAACGTTTAGGGTTCCAGGGCTTTAGGGCTTAGGGCTTTCGGGCTGCGGGTGTGGGGTTTAAAACAAGCCCGATAGGCCCTTAACATGCCTTCCTTGTTGGGGGAATAGTAAAAATGATCATTTCTATTCCTTACTGGGAATTGAACATGACAAACATGTAAACTTATCACCAACCAGGACCCGGGAAACCCTAAACCCTAAATCCTGGACCCCTCAGCCCTCAACCCTAAACCCTACATGGGGGTCCTCTCACAACTGCAGCCTGGCCAAGGTTTGCGCGGTAGTGGCCATCTCCCATGGGTTGAGACGAGGGCAAAGGGCGTCGGCTTACCGAAGCAGCGTCCTGGCACCTCGGCCCGCTTGGAAGGCCTAAATGGGGACTTGAGCATAGTATGTGTGGACGAAAAGTAAGGCTTGAGTATCATGAGAGTGCCCCAACTCCCCATCAGTTTCGTCTGGGTCTCCCTACTCCTACTCCTTGCAATGAAGAGGAAATTCATTTGCCAACTGCTCTTGTGAGCAAATCCGCATCAGCACAGGAACCCGGAAAGTGGGAATCTTGTGACGAGGGGCGTTCCAGAGAGCCTTGAGAAGCGCATTCTCGAAGCTCTTGGACAATCCTTTCCAGGGACCCCTCCCTTTGCCCATCCCGGTCCTGACCCAAATTCCGACTGCAAGTGTTAAACATCCTTGCGCCCAAGACTTACGGTTTAGGGTTTAGGGTTTAGGGTTTCTGAAGCCAGAAAGTACTCTGGTGTCTGCTCAAGGTTTCATCGAATACCAAGGAGAAGTTTAAGTCTCAGGTGCCGGCGCGCAAGGCGACATACCAGGATGGGCTCTTAGGCCTTCTAATCTCCAGAAATCAACCCCGGACCCCATATAGGGCCGTTTTCAGGGATAATAAGGTATAATAGCCCTTTTTGGCACAGGCTTGTGGGTGTCATAGCCCTAAACCCCAAACCCCAAACCCTAAACCCTAAACCCTGAACCCTAAACCCTAAACCCGAACCCTAAACCCTGAACCCTAAACCCTAAACCCTAATAGCCTCCTGGAAGCCTCAAAGCCAAGACGCGTCTCCGTGGCACCGCGGGGCCGCCGCGTGGCGCCGCACGCGGTCAGGGACGACAGCACAGCAACTGGCCGCATTGGGGGAACCCTAAACCCTAAACCCTCAACCCTAATTAAACCCTAAACCCTAAACCCCAGGAGGGGAAGTGGGTTTGGGGTCGGAATCTAATAGGGTTGAGGGCCGAAATGGTCAAGGGGCAGCCATTTCATACTCAGCTTTCTCCTGTGGCGTGTAAAACACCTGGCGCATATGCGCATGCGTGCATAATACTGCGTTCGCCCCTTGCCTATCTCAACAAGCACGTTATGTCCATAAAGTTAGTACCAGGTCAAGCGACAAACCCATTGGGGGGGGGGGGGGGTATTCAGATCTGTACACGAAAAAAGCATCTGGGTGTATGTGAATAAATGAGTATAAATATATATAATATAAATATAAATACGAATATAAGTAACATCATACATTTTCCAGCGACTATGGCACTAGTGTAGAACCCCGGAATCCATGTAGTGGCAATCAGTGCGAGCATGTGAGGGTGTCCAAGCAAAACCTGAAACGACCTCGAGTTGGAGAGTTGACACCAACAATGCAACAAACACGTGGACTCTGTGGAGTTCTGCAGAGAAGGGCTCCCAAAAGCCTGGTAGATAAGCCTCCCTAGAACACAAGCTCACAACCCCTGCCCCCCAGACGACGCATCGTGGAACCCCCGGCTGCTTACTGTTCGGTTTTCTGACTGTCAAAGCTTAGCAAGTCCAAGCAAGCTCGTACCCTAAAGCCTAAACCTGCCTGCTTCACGAAATGGCGGCCTCTGGCGATCACGATCCGCGAGTCGCAATCCTGACGGCTGAGACGCGATGTATACAAGTTCACCGAAGCCCCAAACCATCTTACTGTTGGTTAGTACCCTATATCCCCAGACATAGCCTTTAAGGGATTCTATTGGGTACCTCATTAAGTTCAACCTTCACATGCTTTGCCCTTGAACCACAAAGCCCTACAGTTACCCTACTATAGGGGCCTTAATTAGAACAAGGTTTTCGGGGGTATTGTAGTAGAATTACGTAGGGACAATATGAAGGAGTAACTATTAGCTCTTCCGACCCCTGTGCTCTTTAGCCTTTGCCTCCAGATGGCCGGCTCGGTGCTCGTGGCGCCGGCGTGTGTCGCTGCTGCCAGCCGACTTCCATAAGCTTGGCTTGGGTTCGGAGGCTTTAGGGTTTAGGGTTTGAGGGTTTAAGGGTTTAGGGTTTAGGGTAGAGGGGTTAAGGGTTTAAGGGTTTTAGGGCTTAAGGGGTTAGAGGGGTCTTATGGGCACTAGTGCCTTGGAGTCGGGCATCGGTGAGTGGATGGGTGTAAGGCTAGGGTTCAGTTGGGAACGTCCTTGGTTTCGGGATGGTGGGGGTTGCACAGCCCAATACCTGCAGAGCAGTTGGCAACAGCAAGCAACTTCACGAATTGGGTCACATAGATACCGTGGTGAGACATGCCAAAGCCATGGCGAACTATATGCATGTATGTATGTATATGTATGCTAAACCCAACCGACATGCATGTGACATTCATGTCGATTGGGTCTAGCATATATATAAATATATGTGTGTATAATGAAGGCGCAGACTAGATCAGAAACCACCGCCAGCTTTTGCATCGCCGTTGCCTTGAGCATTGCCCGTCATCCTGTTTCGAGGCTTCTAATTCTAAGAGGTTGGGTCAGACAGCTCAAGACACACACACAGAGATATATACATATGAAAATTTAAACATATATTTGTATATATTTATATCTATATAGCTCATAGGTATGATTACTATATGAATATATATATATATATATATATATAAAGCTCATACATAGATGTGTATATATATATAGATAAATATTGCTCAGAAAAGCCATGGGCCGCTTACACAACAACTTGAGCCGTCTTCGACATGGGGCAGTGGAACCAAGACACATTTGGCGATGGTGACTTAGTTACAAGAACATCTCAGGATCTCAAATCCGACAACCCCTTCCAGCAATTAAAAAGTTTTCCTCTGGGCTGCCATTGAGAAGCCATCGGAAGCTACTATAAACATGTGGGCAGCAGCCCGGTATCTCACATCCTCATTCCGAGGCTCTCAGTTCTGGCTGTAGGTAGCCACCGCCCAAACTTGGTGCGAGTTTATCCAGGAGCCTAGGTGCAGCGAAGGATGCACAGGTTTAGGGTTTAGGATTTAGGGGCCAATGACAAGATGAGATAAAGACGGATGATGCAAAAATGCGCATTTCCACGTGTGTGAGACTGTGAGTCCTGCATCTGAAGCCCAGCACCCAAAGCACTCGTGCATAAGCCACAAGCCCTCTTCACTCTTGCAACGTATCTCATGAGACATTTCCGCACCTTCTTCTCTTTGGCCAGTGTGACTGAGGGATCCCAAGCCGACAACTGACGCTTCATGGACTTGACTTGTGTAGCTGCGGCATGGCCACACAGGCCACACATATGCACAAATCTAGCTGGAGCTTTGCGTTCTGCCTGTACTCAACATTCGCCCTTCTTATGAAACCAAGCCTTCTGAGACTAATGCATACTTGACACATTGTGAGCAGCATATACGGAATATATATATATATATGCATATATACACATGGAACACCCTAAACCCCAAACCCCAAACCCTAAACCCCATACATACATAAATTAATCAACTCCCGATCTGCCGGGATGATTAAAACATGTTGCAATGTTGGGTGAGAACGGGAGATCGGAGAGAGAGAGAGGGAAAAAGAAAATCAACAAAGAACTGAGCGAAATTAAAGAAAGCACACACACAAAGACATCAACGATCGATGGGGAGCATGGAATACAAACCCATGCAGAGAACAGAGCTAAATTCTCGCAGCCTTGAAAGAAACCTTCACAAGTCATCCAATCATCACACTGCACTGAAGTCGTGGCCATACTTCAATAGATGCAACCAACGCGTGCATCAACCTAGAGCGCCCAACACCTTACACCCCTGCTGTCCAATGTTGAGCCTGACCTCCATCTTGCCTTGGGATGTTCCCACTTATACAAACAGTCCTTCATAGGGATCATCGTACCCACTATTATAATCTCTATTAAGGACTGTTAGTATAAGGCGGAACATCCCAAATCTTGCCTTACAACATGCAGCTGGGAAGCCGTAGTCCTGCAGTACAAGCCAATGAGCTCTGGCAGGCAGCAATGGCAAAGCTGAGCCTCGACATGTTTCTTGCAACCTGTACTAGGACTTGCCCAAGAAGCAGCACTGCCGTCAATCCTATCAGGGTCGCCATACCGTACCACGCCCTCACACACTCTTGCTTGCTTCGAAGAGCAAAAATAGAGTGGAACTTCAAACCGATTCCAGCTGCGTCCGGCCAACGCCACGGCCAGAGAGCTTGGATCTCGCCGCTCCAATTGCCCAAGGAGGTCCGCAGCTTGCTGCCATCGATGGGCCCCAGCACCTATACTCCCCTTAGAACCTTAAAAAAAAATATATTTTTAATGTCCTCTTGGGTTTTACATAAACAACCATAAAAAAAATTCCCAAGGGGGATATAGGCACATGCCCGTACGGCTGAAGAGTAAGCAACGGCATCCAATGACAAAGCCTGGATAACGCCTTGCTCCAAAAGCACCAATGCATGCTGCCATTTACCTCCCTTCTCAACGCCGGAAATGACGGAACCCCAAATCATTTCATTGGGAGGTAGCTGGCTGTCTTGGAATTCCTGGAAAAGCGCGACTGCCAGTGTCCAGCTGGCTTGCTTGGCACACGCGCTAATGGCTGCGCCGTATGTGAAAGCGTTCGGGCGGAGACTGCGCATGCGACTCAAGTTGAGGAACCGAAGAGCAAGCTCCCACTCGCCAGCTTTGTCGCAGGCACTCACGACGGCGCTGTAAGTCACCACGTCCGCTTGCAGCCCCTGAACCATCAACTTGCTCAAGAGATGTAGTGCAGTTTGCCATTTCTCGCTCTTCTCACAGGCTGTGATTGCTGCATTGTACAAGACGAGCTCTGGAAGAAGCTGCACCACCTCCACTTCTTGCAACACGCACAAAGCCTGCTGCCATTGAAAGGAGCGCCCACAAGCACTGATCACCGAACTGTACCTTACTTCTCCAATAACCAAGGGGAAAAAAGCTTAAGCTTTAAAAACTTCCTACTAAATAAGGAAACCCAAAAAGTGAAAAAAGCTCAACTAAAAAAGCGAAGTAAGCTACATAATGGTGTCCGGCCGAAGCCTGGCCTTCGCCTGCTTCAGCAAGGCCAGAGCAATCTGCCAGCAACCGCCTTTCCTAGACCCGGGAGTAACCTAGGAATAAAAAGGGTACCCTTGTTGGTTTCAAGGGGATTATAAGTAAGGGAACCCCAACCCTAAAAAAGGAAAAAAGGGCCTGCGGCCTACATCCGGTCCGAGCTTCTCACAGGCGCTGATGGCTGCACTGACGATGATGATATTCACTCGGTCAGCTGCCTCGGCCTCCTCGAGAAGATGTAGGGCTTGGGGCCACTGGGTGGCCTTCTCACAGGCGCTGATGGAAGCTCCGTAAGTCACCACGTCTGGGACCAGACCGGAGTCTTCTAGCTTCGCAAGTAAGGAAAGTGCTGGCTCCCACTGGCCGGCCTTTTCGCACGCGCTGATGGCGACATTGTGCGTAATCACATCTGCCTGGGCACAGGGTTTAGCGTTTAGTGTTTAGGGCATCCAAGACCCGGCTGCTCCATTTCCTGCTGCGGTCTAGAGCCTGGAATGCTGGAAGCACACGATGTCAGGCCTGTAGCCCTCCCATCCTTGCACCACCCCAAACCCTACAAAGACGCAAAAGCTCCTGAGCTCCGAATCCTAAGAATCCTAAGCTCCCGAATCCGAACTCCAGCTCGAACTTTCGGACTCTTGGCCTGTAGCTGTAAATCTTTGAGCTCGTCCATGAGTACCAGAACCTCTCTCTTATCCAAGCAAATGGCAACTAGACCCAGGTGTAACCTAGGAATAAAAAGGGTGTCCTTTTTGGTTTTAAGCGGTTTATAAGGAAGCCCCAACCCTAACGAAAGGAAATAAGGGCCTGCTCCGGGTCCGAAGCAACATTTGGGGGAGGGCCTAATTAGGTCTCCTCAGCCCCCCCCAAGCTGAACCCGATATAGAGGGTAACTAGCCGTCGACAGCCATCTCCAACCTAAGCTTCCGCGCGCCCTACGCAACATACTTGCAAGAGTAGCTAAGAAGAAGCTGGCCCTAAGCCCTATAGACCCTAGACTGGCCCTAGACCCCAAACCCGCAGCGGCAAACCTGCATCTCCCAGAGACTTGCAAAACCCCTTAATGAAGGAATATACCTTAAATCACATGGCTGTGGCTCTAAATAGGGGTATGTCGCGGTGTCCCGCCACCCGCCTGTGTTTCATACGTATGTCGCGGGGTTTGTCGCGGCTGTTTCGCGCTGTCTTGAAAAAGAGATACGAAACCCATGCAGTTCCAAGAAGGGGCTTGTCGCAAAGGCTTGTCGCGGAGGCTTGTCGCGGAGGTTTGTCGCGGAGTGCTTGTCGCAAGCAGAACGGCTTTGTTACAAACCCTATGTCGCGGAAAGACGCGCGGGAGCCAGTTACATACCTAGACTTTTGAGCCGCACCCACATTAGGGTTCCTATTATAATCTAAGGGGGAATCCTTAATTCAGGAATATACCTGAAATCACCTTGGGGCTCCTACTATAATTGAAGGGATATTCCTTAATTAAGGGGTTTTGGAGTCTTTGGGCTGGATTCCGGGCACGAAACGAGCTGCCATTCTCCAGGCTTTTCGCAGGCGCTGAGAACCGCGTTGTACGTGATCAAATCCTCGCTCGAAGGTCGGGTTTGGGGTTTAGGGTTTTTCGACACCCCAAATCGACCTTATTTTGGGTTGGGCATTAGATTCCCTCAACCCTGAACCCTAAGCCCTAGACCGAGGGTTTAGGGATCCCTTAAGGATAACTTGAGGGTTCATATGGAAAATCAATCATGCATGGGCCGTATGGGAGCAGGAGGGCCCCAACAACACGTGGATTCTTAGGGGTTGAGGGTATGGGATGGTATGGGTTTAGGGTTTGGGCTTCGGTAGGCTTGAAAGGCACGAGGGCTCGGAATGTAGGGCTTGAAAGGGACTAGGCCCCTTGCGAGCCGCCTTGCTACACAGGGATTTCTACTAGGAATTCAGACCACAGCAGTGGCCAGCGCTGAGGAAAGTCCGAAGATCTACGTAATTATGGAGTTAATTTCAGGCCTCAGACTTCAAATCTCTCGAGTCCATGAAAGAATGCCCCTCTAACGGACAGCCCAGGATCCAGCTCCAAGAAGGTCGCGGAGCAGTCAGCTAAAAGTCGTAAGGCCTCAGGCCACTGGAAGGCTTTCTCACAGGCGCTGATGGTCGAGCTGTAGGTGATCAAGTCTTCTTCCACGCGCTTGAGGCGCATGGCCTCCAGGATGGCCAGGGCTTGCTGCCAGCTTCGCGCCTTCTCACCTAGGATGGCCCTTTAAAACCCTGTTGAAACATATTCCTGAAGATGATCCTCTTAAACCCCAAAAAATGGAAAATATGAAAATGTTCCTTAAGGGCCTACGGAGTCACAGGAGCTGATGGCGGAGTTGCAGGAGATGGCGTTTGGCAAGAGCTGGGAGGCTTCAAGGTCTTCCAGGAGATGCAAAGCCCAGTCCCACTGAGCAGCCTTCTCGCACACGCTGATGGCTGCACCGAATCTGCGGAAGGAGTGCTCGGCTATAGGTTTGCTTAGCATAATGACGCAAATCGTTGCTCAGTCTGCCGAGGGGCGTAACGACTGTTGTCTGCAAGGACTGCTCAGTGATTTCGGCCACCAGGAGAAGTGCACGCTGCCAATCCCGTTGCCACCTGCATGCGCTGATGAGCTTGTTGTATCCGATGGTGGTGTCCGGACACGGTGACTTCGGTGACTTCGGTGACTTGGTGCTGGGGCCATTTGGCGGCCGCATGGGGGGAAGGCTGGCAGGAGTGTTCTGGCGGAAAGGCTTTCCAATTTGAGGAGAAGAGCTGTGGCAGCAACAGCATACACGCGCACAGGGATATTGAAGCTTGTGCTATTCAGGCGTGCTACTGTCAGGGAGCCGATGCAACACTGTGCAAACCTGCAGGTTTCATCAGTTCAGGCGCGAAGCGGTAAAGACATGCAAGTTTTGAAGCTCGCCGAAGAAGTCCGCATTGCCGGAGCACTGTGGCATTGGAATTTCTGTGCTAAAAGGGGGACGCCTCTGTCTCCACAGTGACATGCCCTGTGGGCACTCTAGGTGCGTAAAAGCTCAGATCGTCACCGCAGGTTATAAGTATCAAGTTACGCAGGAAAGCCGGAGGTAGCGATGATTCACGCTTGATGAGACATTGTCTAAGTCTAGCTGATTCTATCTTTCTGCAGAGTGCTTGGGCGAAGTGCATTGCCACACTTAAATGATTAAGTGAATTTCGAAGCTGGCGCCAGCTGGATGGTCGTGCCTCGACCTACATGTGCATCTGGCATGGCAACGACTTTCTCTACACTCTTTATACACTGCACGGTCTCATGCACTCCCAATCACGAACAGCGTGAGCTGCCTGCACAAAGGCCTTGAATACGGTTCATGCAAGCGATGAGCCTCAAGATTCAAGCCGCGACCTGTTCAAAACCTGGAGTAGCTGTGCTTGATCGCAGCTAGACGACGCTTTTCATCGCACGTCGAGTCCCACAACGCCGTCTAGTGCAGTGATAGTGCAGTGATTCAGGAAACTATACCACAACGTCCTAGTTTGGGGTGAACCATGAGACCCTTACTATGACACAGCAGTTATACCCTGCATGTGCAACAGACGAGCTTGCTACTTCCGCAGCAGCCTTTCAAGCAACAGCTCCAAGCGAAGCAGCTGCCGTCGCAGCTGTGACAGCTTTGCTGCTGCTTCGCATGCGTCTATAGCCTGCCACAGGAAAAACCTACAAACAAGCTCCTGCCCAACCTCACGAGCCGTGTTGAAAATTTGGCACCCTTCCACAGAACCCTTCCCTTGTGCAAGTACTGGATCTGTTGGCGCAGGGGACTTGCTTCCACGCATGCTTCCACGAACACTCTTGATGCTTCCGCGCGTAGGTTAGTGATGTATAGACCGGAATCTGCTAATGACGGAGACTCTTTCATGCTGCTTGAGCTGGTAGCTTTCGCGGGAGCTTGCGGGAGATGTGCTTCCGCAAGCCCTTGCGCATGTTTCTGCGGAAACAGTCCCTTATAGTTTCGCGGCTCTCGAGCTGCGCTAAGGTGCTTGAACAGACAATGCAACAAGCCTCAATCAGCCAACCTGTCATGTCCAATTCGTGAAGCCGCGTGCCTTGCTGAGAGTGATGGCGTCCGCTTCCACGCCAGGCCTGGCGAGATGTGCAGCTGATGTGAAGGTTCAGGGCCGATGAGGTTAACAGGGACTTTCCTGCACCTGGTGGACTCTGCACCCAAAAGTTCTTGCAAAAGCCGAAACTGACAACAATTCCTTGTGGCCTGCCTCAAGAACCAAAGTGCCAGGTGCCATTGCCGACCTCGCTCCTCGGTCAGGAACCGTCTGATTTGGAGCTGTAGGGTTTAGGGTTTATAGGGGTTTAAGGGGTCTATTGGGTTTATGGGGTTTATAGGGTTTATGGGTTCATAGGGTTTATAGGCTTTATAGGGTTTAAGGATTCAGCAGCGTAGGAGTGGCTTAGGGTAAGCTTGCCCCGAACTGCAGTCACACCTAAAGACTCCCGGGGTACCAAAAGCCGCCCTGCAAGGACTCACGACGCACATGCCTGAATTCATCAACTCTTGGGCGAAGGGGTTTAGGGTTATGTAGAGGGAAAACATGTTCAGTTCTTTCGCTCATTTCGTCCCCAGATATGGGGGGCCTGTGGGGATGTGACGGTTCTTCTTCGGCACCTGCTCTGCCACGATTCTACACTGCTGCGACTCAAGCCTATAAGTGTATCCCCCTAACCCTAAACCCTAAAACCTAAACCCTGTGCTCTAAGGCTCGAGTGAGCTCGTCAGCGCGTTGGTGGTGATAATGTTGGGCTCCATTCCAAACACGTCAAGCTGACGAAAGAGCATCTGCGCTTCCTGCCACCTTGTAGGCTTTGGGAGGTTTTTTTTTTGGTTTGGGGTTTAGGGTTTAGGGTTTAGGGTTTGGGGTTTAGGGTTTAGGGTTTCGGGTTTCGGGTTTAGGGTTTAGGTGCATCCCATCGAACCGAAGCTCTTAGCATGGTCTGCATAGGTTCCACAGCAGGTGGAGGGCTGAGGGGTTCTTTATTTGCCATTGGGTTCGAATTTTTTTAGGGCATGCGGCATCACGCTCATAGTCAGGAGATCCAAGACGGAAACCTGTCTAAGCAATCAAAGGAGAACGCAACAATGTCAACGTTGCCAAGCACCACCTGCCGGCAACCTCACACGTGCTGATGGCGGCGTTCTGCCTCGGCTCTTCAAGTCGGATTGTACTTTTAGGCTTGAGGGTGTTCATGATCTACGTCGCGTTTCAAAAAGTGCTCATACTGCCCCAAAATGTGCCCCTAGATGTTTGATAAGCCCATAATTCCTCATCCTTCTAGGGCCTGTATCTAGAAGTAGCGACATGTCGTGGAGTGTGTCCCTTGCTTAGTGCAAGGCAAGAACTCAACCTAACTTGTTGCATTACTTCTTATGAAGCTAGTGAGATTGCCGAACGGGAGCTGTGCCACCGGCATGTTGGCACGTGTTCATTAAGAACTCCACTTGCTCCTCTATTGATGCACATATTCATGTAAATGCTCACTTGGCAGGCCATGAAAGGCTTTAAAGTCCTAAGTCCAGAGCCCTAAACCCTAACCCTAAACTGTCCAAGCTGCGAGATGAGCGCGGGCTGTAGGCTTGCAGGGCCCAACTCGTGTAGCACCTTTCATGTCTTAGGAATATTGAGGGCCAAATTTAGGGCTTCAGGGTCTTGAAGGGGGTTGATGGATGTTCATCTGCATGACGGGCGTTTCCTCTCATGCTCTCGCCGAAAAAGTGGCCGGCCCACGTCCTACGACATGGGCCGACGACTCGGAGACAGCCACCAAACATTCGGGTGGCTCAACTAGGGCGTGCAATATCTTCTGGTAGGAGCCTGACTTAAGTCACCACATAGCTTCTGCTATGCCTGCATGTGTTGAGTGCTGTAACCAAATCTTTATGCTAGGTCTTCTGGCCCTACCCATCGACATGTCGAGCACTCTTGGGGTCACACACTGACGTAATCATCCGAGTCGGATTCAGGTGCCACGGCCGCTTGTTGTTGCAAGGCAGCCTGCGTATTCGTTGCAGCTGCTTTCTTCTTTCGGTGGGTCAAAGTGATCGCCTCCTTACCTTGCAGGAGAAGCTTCCACCAGGAACAATAATCCACGACCATCTGAAAGAACAGCCACCCCGGTGTGGAGAGGATTGTCACAGGCAGCTGGCTCATGGGAGCTTTCAACTGGGGATCTTGAAGCAGAGTGAAGAGATATTGCTCGTAGAGGGGCATCACAAGTATCAGGGCCAAAACCACGCCGAGAAGCAACTTGTCCAGCAAAGACACCAGGAGGAGCTGGTCGTCAGACAAGTCTGAGCCAAAGATGGCCACAGCGATCGACGTGCAAAGGGCAAAAACCCCTAGGCCATTCGTCACAAGAATCCGGAAAAGCCAGTACTTGAACATCCACCAAAAACTGGCCAAGGTCCCCCCCCTCGGACGAAACCTCCACCGGAACTCTGCGACCTCCATCGACTGCGCGGCCCATCGGATGCACTGCTTGGTCCCTTCACTCCAGGCTCCACAGAACGTGGAGTCCAAGGGTGGTGCCACAGCCACCAGCACAGGGAGCGGTTCGACAAGGGCACGGCCGCGAGACGACACGGCGCTCTGTGCCAGCACCATCCAATCTTCGCCCATGTAGGATGGATGATGAAGGCCCATTTGCACATATTGGAGGAGGGGCAAGCTGTAGCAAGTGACCGTCATGATGCTGAAGCCGAAGAAGGCCGGGTAGCTGAAGCTCCGCATGGCCCCCAAAGCCCGCAGAGGACCATGGCTGAACTCGCGGTTCAAGAAATGGACGAGCTGTGGTTGCCAAACCACAGGCGAAGGCTCTCCCGGATTCCGCGTCACTGCGTCTTTCCGGCGAATGTAGGCCTGCTCCAGCTGGGTGAAGTAGTTCGGTGGGAGAAGCACCTGAGAGTCTACCTTGGTTAGCAGGCATCTGCTTATTTTCCTCCCCAGCATGGCCACATCCTGGGCAAGCGCGTAGGCAAGGTTGGAGCAGAGGCCGCGGATCTCACCAGGCGTGTGGCCCACTGGATGGACGTAGTAGCACACCTCCGGTACACGGCGGAGGCTCTTTCGATAGAGCTGGAATCGCTCTTCCGGGCGATCTGTCGCTGCTTCCATGGCGAAGACGACCCTCATGCGCTTGGCGGCGTCGGACTCGTCCAGCCGAGCGATGGTGGCCAGGATCATCTCGTCAGGCTCCTTGTAGATCGGTACGCAGACCAAGTGCAACGGGCGCTGGCGCTGCAAGTGCCTCGCAAGACTTGTGGGAGAACCAGCAGCAGCCGCTGCTGTGCTGCCTGCTGGCTGTGTTTGGCCGGCAACTTTGCGGAGTCGCCACAGACTTCTGCCGGCCGCGAAGATCATGCAAAACCCTGCGAGGAGGAAAACCGCTGCAATGGCCAGGAGGAGGTAGACGGCTGCATCGCCACCAAGGCTGAAGACCCAGAACGGTGCAAGAACCACGCCACCCTGGCACATGAGGAGCACCAATGTCACCTGTGGGGCTGTCCTTTTCGGGGCACCCCAGCGGCTCATCGCCGCAATCTGCGAATAATGGGATCGGGATGAAGGCTTAGAAGTCACGCTCTTAGAAGTCGTGGTCCAAGAAACGGTCCAGCTTCGAGAGACTTGTTGTGAAAGCTGATGAGAAAATTGACGAGAAAGCTGTCGCGAAGGCTGCGACCTGAGGCTTGGCCGCGGCTTCGGCTCTGCAAGGAGCTGGCGTGAAAAGAACTCATCCATGGAGGACATCACCACCTCAGGCTTGTTCACGTGTGGGCAGTGCAGGCCCCCCTCTACCGGAATTAGAAGCTTGTCGGTGCTGGCGACCTCTTGTAAGATCATTTCCGAGCCAGTGAAGGCTGTCACCGAGTCCTCGGGGTCATGGAAGATTAGGATCGGGACATCCACTTGACGCAGCCTCTCTGACATGGTCTCGAACATCTCCACAAAGGCCGCAGCAGTTTGAGCCCTCATCTTTGCGTGCGCAAGCCCCATGGACCCGGCCTCCACGCCGCCATGGTCCCGGTTGAAGTGCTCGATGTGCTTCGGGTCGATGAAGAGCGCCTCGCCAGAGATCGTCGGGGTGAAGGTTCTAGGAACGCCCAAGTTGCCAAGGGACGGGGCCTTCTTCAGCATGCTGCTGAAATGCCGGGACAGCCAAGGAGGGGTGCTCCGATTGGGGTCTTGGACCCCCGGAGCCGCCAGCACCAATCCACAGAGCCGGTTGCTGGTGGGAAGGATTGGCAGCTGCAAGGAAGCCAGAATGGACACTGCCGCGCCCATGCTCTCGCCCGTAAGAAAGAAAGGCAAGTTTTGGGCCTGGTGCAACGTCTCCTCGTCGCAGAGGTGATAGTCGGGGCCTTCTGCCTCCTCTGCTTCGTGGATCAGCTCCAGGAAATCTACGACATCCCTGCCAAAGTCGTCGAAGTTGGAAACCAGTCCCCTGGGGCCCTCCGAGTAGCCATGGCCCTGCATATCGAAGCTTATCACCACAACCTCCAGCCGGTCGCTATACGCACGGATCATGTCCCACACGAATGGGCCGTTCATGTGACACCCGTAGCCATGATTGTAAATCATCACTGCGCGTGGCTGCGGATGCGGCGCGCAGCGGATGTGCAGCCGGTGGCCCCCACTGTTCGTCCAGTAGTAAGGGCCGGCGGGAAGCATGGGAAGAGTGGCGTTTGCCATCACTTCACCGCGACCCTCGTGCAAAGCCCATCTATAGGCTTAGGAAAAACATCTGAACCCAAGTGCTCACAACTCGGACAGGCCAGGCAATGCTTCAAGGGCTTGGCTGTTATGTGACACTCCAAGGCTGTCAATCCTTAGACCACCCTGAAACCTTTAGCACCTGCAGCGAAAGCCGCCACTGCAATCCCTCGCGGAGGGAGCTCAGGACCTGAGCAGGTGTCAGAATAAGTTGTGTGTATACATATATATATATATTATTTATGGTTCGTTTCCGACAAGCCAGGCGATGGTTCTGAAATGGGGTCTGCCACGTCGGCTTCAGGGTAGGATCGACAGCAGGGCAAACCTGCAGGGGAAGGCGGTTTCCAGCAGGTCTGTCGGCTGAGGGTCCAGAGTGATACGTGTATACTTGTCCATAGGGAATACTTAAGGCCTTAAAGTACCTCCTATATACTTTGGTGCCCAAGTGTTTTTTATGGGGCACATGGACCGTTGGAATTATATTCGACTTATTCGGGGCATGGTGCTGCACCGCTGATTATGTGGTAAACTCCCACCATAAGTCTTGCCGTCGGCAATGCCGACATGTGCCGAGACACGGAATTGTGCAGGACAATGTCGGATTCCACGACCCTGGAGCAGACAAGCTCTACGTAGACATCCTCATTCAGTGCACAGGCTCGGTTGTATGCGGAATTGTAGTGTGCCTGGTCGATGTCGCAGACAGCAGCTGCAAAGCTGCATGCCACGCGCCCGCCCTTTCACCTGAGTCCCGGTGAGAGGACTCAATGTAAGTTGTTCAGGGCATACTTTAAAGAAGGCACCCCGGTTGGTTTGCGTGGCATGGAGCTTGTTGTTCATGGCTAGAGACAAGGAATTCATCAGCTTAACATGCCTGGCCGCATGCGCTGGTTGCAGAGCCGTAGGCAATGACATTGGCCAGTAGGTTGCTGCAGGCCATGCGCTGAAGTAACGCACGGGCGTGCTGCCACTTAGCTGCCCGCTCGCATGCACGGATGCCAGCTCCGTATGCCACAACATTTGCAGAGAGGTCGGGGTGGTTCATCTTCATCAAGAACTTCAACGCTGAAAGCCATTCCGTAGACTTGGCGCAGGCGCTCGTGACCGTGCTATAAGTTACCATGCTCGGCTGCAATCGGCTGCAGTGCAGGACGGCCAGCAATTCCAAAGCTTTCCGCGTCTGAGATGCAGCCTCGCATGCGCTGATGGCACAGTTGTACAGGATCAGACTGGGAAGAAGGCTCCTTTCACAGGTCTGTGAAAGCAAGGCAAGTGCCACTTGCCATTGCCCTGCTCGCGCACAAACGGTCAACAAGGAGGCACATGTTGTTGCATCGGCCTGTAGCCTGTCTGCGACAAGCGAAGCGAAAAGAACCAATGCACCTTGCCAGTCAGCCACAGATTCCTGACTGGTCAGCAGGTAAGCTTGGGACTGAGGGCCCTACATTCTACCCTTTAACGGATTCTATAGGGTACCTTATTCCCCGATTCCCCACTAACCAACAGTAAGATTCGCAGGAGCTGATGGCCGCGCTGTAAATGACGATGTTGACTTCCACGAGGCGCCTTGCCCGGCTGAAGGCCAGGAGCGCGCGCTGCCACTCCCCTGCCAGCTGCAGCCCCGTGATTAGGGAGCCTGGCTCGCAGGAACAGCACCTATGATTCCTTTCAGAGTTAGGGGCTAGGAAGGGTTTAGGGGTTTGGGGTTTAGGGTAACTTCTCTCATCCCTCTAAGTAGGGGATAGGATCAGGACCCTTGAAAAAAAGACCCTCCGAATAAGGTCCCTGTTTAAGAGAGCCAGACGAGGGTTACAAAGGGTTCCTGTTAAGGATCCCCTTATCCTACCTAGGATCAAAGGCCCGCGTGTGTTTCTTATAGGGCCAGGGCTCGGATAGCCTGCCATGTTAAAGCTGGAGATTTACAGATGAACCCTTGAAGCCCTCTGCTAGGTGAAACCCTGCTTCGGATTCCAAGAACCTAAGAACTCCCAGAATCGGATCTCCAACTCGGAGAGGGGTTGGGTGTTGACTTTAGGGTTAGGGTTTAGGCGGTTTGGGGCTGACCTTGGGCTTGTAAATCCTATAAACCCTGCAAGGCCCTATACCCTAAAGCACTCCGGAGGGTTGCGCGCAAGAAGCCGTACGTGACGATATCTGGCTGCAGCGCGCTCTGCAACAAGCGGAGGAAAAGGACGATGCTTCTCGACCACTGACACTCCTGTAGCTCAAGGAGTATGTGCCCCGGGTATAGGGCGTCTGGGCTTTACAGATGTAGCAAAACTGCAGCAAGCGTCTACACCGGACACTTTCTCCCTGATCCTGATGAGAGCCAAGTTGCCGCCAGTGTCCTCAATGCTGTGTTGTAGGTGATAAGGTCGGGCCGGAGTCTCCAAGAAGAGATCTGGGGAGATGGAGAGGGAGTGTATCGGGCTTTTCAGGCTTCGGTTTGTCAACGCGAACGAGGCAACTGGAAGCACATAGTCACTGTATGTTAGTTGTTTGATGAATTTCTGTTAGTACAGAAAAATCAGTGCTTGGTGGCGACTTCGTGTTTGGGCCAGCCCATCGGTTTGTCAAGGGCTTCTAGCAGGAACCGACCTTCTCGTGGCAGCTCTGCACAGAAACAGTTGCCCTAAACCCCGCCACAAGACCGTTTTTGCACTGAGATGATGTGTAATTGTTTCAACCAACCGCAGCCCTTTTTGCCACTGGACTGAAGGCAAGCCAGATGATGCACCACCAAAGCTCTCAAGCAACTGCAAACGCAGCCCTAATCCCTATACCCTAAACCCTAAATCCTAGCCCTAAACCCTAAACCCTATACCCTACACCCTAATTAAAGCCTAAAGCCTAAACTTAAACCCAGTAAGCCCTGCCTGCGAGACCAGGGCTGCCCCCTCAGCCCAGCGGCTGCTCTTCTGGCAGGCGCTGAGGACCGAGTTGAAGAGGATAAGGCTTCCCTGGAGTCTCCTGGTGGGTTTTCCCGAAATTAGGGTTTAGGGTTTAGGGTTTAGATATTTTTTGCCACCCGTCTGGCCAAGCTCCACGGGGCAACTGAGGAGGGAATGCTGTGTACAAGTTGGTTTCGGGCTTAGGGGTTAGTAAGGGGTTCCTTCTTGGGTTCCTTATCAGAAGGGAGTCCAATGATTTCTCTCGTCTATTTTAGGCATCCCCTACTTTTGTAAACCCCTTCTTGGCTTCAGGGCAGAGCTGTGGTCCGCTTGTTGGCCTCGCAGGGTTTGCCTGTTACGGCTTATAAGAGGGGTTTCGACAAACATTACCCGTTGCTATTTGGACTACTAGCTGCGTTTGCAGCTGGTCCTTGTCCAAGCGTCGCCCAACAATGCCATGGCAGACTGCCAGTTGGCAGCCTTCTCGCAAGCACTGGCTGCAGAGCCTAACGCCACAACGTCCAGCTCAACGTAGAGCAAATCCATGTTCGCAAGGATTGCAATGGCAAGCTGCCACTGTGCAGCATGTCCACACGCGACAATGGCGGTGCTATGAGCAATCACATCTGCTTCCAGGCGCTTCCCGGCCAGGGCAGAAAATATTTGCAGCGAACATGGCCATCGCGTAGCCTTGCCGCAAGCTTTGATTGCAAAGCTGCATCTGATGACGGTGCAAGAGAGATCGGTCTGTTCTTTCGCCAACGTTGCAAGAGCCTCCCGCCATGTACTCTCGGTGCTTGGCGGCCTGGACAGAAATTATAGAGGCAGACACAAATCAAAGGACGGTTCTGTAGCTTCAGAATCGCTTCTTCTCGTCTGAACCCCAAGCCCTCCACTATTCCACCACCTTCCAAGGGCCATCCCGACCGGCAGCGAAGCATCGCAAAGGCATCGGGCTGAGCGTCAAAGGATTGCTAAGGGTGCAGGGGGACAGCCCTAGAAGGCCGAATCTCACTATCCTGAGCCAAACGACAGCAGGTACTCCCAATCACAGGCATTTTCCTACGAAATGGCATCATCACCCCGACCATGGTGAGCTTCGGACAAGCATGAATTCTCATCCAGTTGACCTTGAACAAGCTTCGGGATTGCTAAAGGCTTGCAGGGTCTCGGGTTTAATTAGGGTCGAGCTTGTTGAAACAAGCGAAAGCAAAGTGACCCGGCCCCGTCGCTCTACAGCTCAACTTCCTTCCAATATCTCTAAGCTGAACCACAAATTTGTTCCACTATGTTCCAATCTCTGCCTGCTACTACGCACCGGCGCCCTTCGTCCCTGTATGGGCCTGAGCAGGCACTAAGTGCACCAAGTAGAGCCCCAGGCACAGCAGCGTGCAGATGATGCTATTGGCCTACTCGGCCGCAACATCAGTTCGGCCAACGCCGTTTGAACACATGATTCCTCGCACCGCACGTAAGGATCTTTTCCGCTGTTGCTGGAGGTCCCCCGCCCATGTCCCGCTCACAATCAGCTCTTCCACTTGCCCGAGCAGAAATGTGGACACCCTGAAGTTCGCGGCTCTGTATGCTGCACCTTGGCCCCGCCAATCATGTGAGTGCAACCGCTTCTCTCAACCAAAATACCGCGAAATTGCACAACATCGGGGGCCTCTAGAGTCTCAAAAAATGCCCTAACTAAAATTCCTATACTGACCAAAAATGCCCTATAGTTCCTTTAATCACCGACAGGCTAGGTGCTGAGGACGGCATCGAAGCAGATGGCATCCGGCTCAGCTCCCAGCCTCGCGCCTCGCCCCAAAGTCTGCAAGGCCCGCTGCCACTGGGCTGCCGCATTGCAAGCGCCGGTGGCTGCGCCGCAAGTGATGGAATCAGCCAGAAGCTCGGCTGAGGAGATGTCAACTAACAGCTGGTAAGCTTGCTTCCATGCTGCAGCCTTCTCCCAGGCGGCAGCCAAGGCATTGCATGCGATGAGGTTCAGCTGAAGCTGACTTTCCTGCAGCTGACAGAAGAGCCCATGTGCACTCTGCCACTTCCCAGCCTTTGCACACGCGCTGATCACGGCGCTGTAGGCGACAACATTTGGTTCTACCTCCCCAGCTTGCATGTCCTCAAACAAGATGAGCGCTCTCTCCCATTCCATAGGTTTCTCACAGGCACTGATGGCCGCGCTGTATGTAATGACATCAGGGTGCACGCGCTGCTTCTGCAGCTCATCCACTAATTCAAGCGCATGCCGCCACGCGGCGGCTTTCTCGCATGCACTGATTGCTACATTGTAGACGACGACGTCCGGCTGCAGCTGCCGTCGCCTGAACACCTCCAACACCATCCTCGGCTGACTAGGGTCCGATATGCTTGTTTTAAGCTCGTCCCCTGCGGCTTCTGCGTGGAACATCGTGGGAATACATGCAGAGGACGGGTTGTGGGTCCGCAGGCTGGAAGCACTTCAACACACACCTGGCTAACTTGTCGAACTTCTTTGAACATGGCCCGGCTTTGAGGGTACCACCGGAATCGTCTTCCGCATTTGTGTGCGTCCTGAAACTGGTCGTGCCAGCACTTGCTCTTGCAACCTTGCTCTCGTGACGAAATCACCAGAGGTATGGTATGTTGGCCCCCCAACACATGCAATCAGCAAAACATCTGCGAGAGCAAGCTGTCTTCTGCTGGGCTGCTGAGCAGCTCAACCCCAAACCCGAAAAGTGCAACTCTTCAGGGTCGAAGAGCCTGTGCGATGCAAGCCTAAAGCCTGGAAAAGGGTTCAGGAATTGAGGGATCAGGGGTCCCTAAACCCTTAAACCCTTATAAACCCTAAACCCTGAATCGCCCCCCAAAAAGCTCGGAATGCTCCAGCCGCGGCTCAAAGCGGCCTCCCAAGCCGAAGCCTGCCGGAAAAGACTTGCTTGGAGGCGCATGGGCAGTGCTACATGTGGTTTAGGTTGCTTCTGTTGGTTTAGGGCTTATAGGGCTTAGGGCAATAGGGCTATAGGGTTTAGGGTTTGGGGTTTGGGGTCCTCCATGAACCTTCTCAAGGGAAGGATTAGGATTAGGGCTTGGGCTTCGTTTGCCTCCCGCCTTGAGCTGACTGACAACCACTTTGGGGTTGCTTGCATTTGGGATTTTATGGGATTTCTATGCGGCACGCGTACGGGGTTCCACACGAACTAGCATGATTAGCTGCCAATCTTGTGTGAAATAATGGTGGGCGTGCGAAACAGGATTCCGCGCGAATCGGAGGCTAATGTGTGCAGAGCGCATGGGTAGGAACTTCGCGCGAATTAGCGGCGAATTTGTCCAACATGCCGCTCTTTCTCTGCTGCGGGCGCAGGACGGGATTCAAGCGATTCAGCAGATAAGCTTCAACTCTTCAAGTTCAGAGTCCAGAGTTCACAGATGTTCGCCTATGTGGGTGTGTCTGCAAGAGGCAATTCCAAGCACTGCTCATTGAGGCGAGTGTACTCCATCGCTTAGACTTCGAACAGCTTCATGACACAACGTCGCATACGTTACCTGTCCATGCCACTCCTTTCAAAAGCCTCCAAACTCCACCACGACACAAGGGCACGATCAAATTTTTTAGATCCAACTGATTCAACCATCACTGGAACGGTGCCTTTGCACGGCCTTGGGGCCTTTGGGGTTATAGGGCTCAGGAAATAAGATATTCCTGCCTACGGGCTTGGAAGCAGAACTCAAAACCCTACTTGGAGGTTCTTGGTACTTCAAAACCCAATCACAACTGTGCTTATAACCCAATTAAAACCACATTAGGGCACTAAGGGACTTTTTTTTCAGTAGGTTCTAAGTACAGTTCCTCTTGGATTATAAGTACCATGAACCCGAAACCCTAAACCCTAAACCCTAAACCCTAAAATCAGAGCCTCCTCACAGGCGCTGAGGCTCGCCGAGCAGGAGATGAGATCGCTTCGAAGTCGTTGATGGTAGTTGGCCCGCAGCAGCTGCAACGCCTAGACGCCCTAAACCCTAAACCCTAAACCCTAAACCCTAAACCCTAAACCCTCAACCCTCAACCCTAAACCCTAATTCTCCCACCGGTTTTCTTCACCGAAAAACGTGGCCATCAAGCTATTGCCAACTGTTTGCAGTCTTGGAGTGTAGGGTTGGCTCGACTGCAACCTGGGGCCATGCGGTACTAGCTTATACTCTACACTTGAAGGTTCATAAGCCTCAGTCGAGGAAACAAGTTGTATCCAGTAAAAAGCAGCAGCACCAGCAATCTCATAGCCCCAGCTGCTCGTGACCCTCCAAGAAAGTTCGAAGCCCTGAAGCCCTGAGCCAAACAAAAACACTTCTACACGTTTTGTACCCTCCAGAATGCAGTTGCCTAAAACCCTTTTCAATCCAGACTCTCCTGTCCTCATCAGCTATAAGGCAGGACCCTAAAGCCTGCAACCTGCCCATCCAAAAAGAGAGCCACTAACTTGTAGGCGGCTATCTCAGGTCGGTCTTGCCTGCTGCCACTTCCCGGCTTGAGCACAAGCACCCACAGCAGCGTTGCCTAGGCAGCTCTCCCGACATTGCGTCTGAGGGTGGGCCTGTGGCTCTACGGCTTACGACCCACGGCGGATGGATTTGTAATGGGTTTTGGGGGGATTGCTAGGGGCCTCGGACCAGCAGCTCCATACGCCCTAAAGTCCGATACCCTCCAAGGTCTTTACCGCCTTTCCTTCCACGTTGATGCTCAAGATGGCCAGCGACAGGCATGGGCCCAATGCCAACGAAGCCCGATGAGAGCCCTCAGCCCGGTACGCCCTAAACTTCTCCAAGTCCACCTCCTTCAAAGTCCTGCCTTCTAAGTGACCATTGAGCAAGGGTGATTGCTCTTTGTCTGCGCCTTTGAGTTGGGAAGGACGTCCCATTGCCAATTTCACTCGATAGGAGCATTCTTGGCTCTTCTTACGTCCTCGCCACCTGTCCAGTTTGCTTGGCGAAGCAAACGAAACTTGACCTCCCCGACAACAACGGCAACAAACTTAGAGGCTTTTGGGGCACGAAGGAAATCATGTCCCAGCTGCTTGTTCTCAAGTTCGGAAGCAGCTCCCTCTCGGAAGCATCGCGCAGGAGCAAGGTTGCCTCGGGAGAAGGCCTACACCTTCAGAGCATGTCCTGTCTTTGCCCGAGACCTACAGGCAAACATTCGTACATACATGCACGCACATTCCACACACACATATGGTAACCCCACATGCATATGGTGGGGGGTTACGAACCCCCCACCTCCTCCCCCCCAGTACCACAATGGGCACCGAGGTGATTCGGCATCCGGGGATACTGTGAGCAGATAACATTCACTTATCTGTGGCTTTGTCATGTACTTCTGTATCTCCACTACGGTACTCCCGCATGCATGCAGAAATCGTTCCGAGCAATGTCGATATATAACTCAGAGAGACGTGGCCCCAGTGGTAAGTGTTTTCCCAAAACCCCAGTTTCAAATACATGCTAAAGACTTTATCTTGTTCTATGTAGACATCGTATAGCCCAATCGTGTGCGATTTGCCAATGCATTGCAGCTGCCATCGTTGCATGTAATTTGTTCGTCAGTTTACAGCTGGGGGGGAGAAAGCCATTCTATCCATTAGGAGCCCACGACAAACACGGAACCACAAGCAAAACGAACAACAAACAACAAAAACACCGAAACACCTCAAAACAATGCAGACAGTAGCCGGGCCCTGGTGCACTAGTGAGGCCAGATTCTTCGGTTCCGATCTTTTCGGGTGTGTTTTGCTTTCGGATATTCGGTTTCGATATGACACTTGTTTTGGTTTTTGGCTGCAGTAACATGCCTCTGGCCCGCCATCGTCCCGGCAGCCCCATCTAAGGAACCAATTGCTTAAGAATCCCGAAAAACAAAAAACAAATAAATAAATATAAATAAA